GGGATAAGAGGAAACAACATGTAACGTACTTAGTGAGCTTGAGTAAATGGATGTTGGAACAAGGTTTAGGAGAGATAACAAAAAAGCAAATTTATTAAGCAGTAAAAAGGACAGGAAATTGTGGAGAGCCATGATTGCCAATATTCTGAATAGACATGGCACATAGAAGAATTATAACATTTTTTTTTTTAATTTTTCAAGCAGAGAAGAATTTTTCAAATGAAAACATTTTTAAAGTTTTCTAGTTTAAATAATCATGAAAATTATCAAACCTTTTGATTAAATCTTTTCTATGTTAATTTGAAAGTGATAACTCTTAGACTTTATCTGGCTTGATTAGAATCAAAGAAATGTGAGGAAACTATCTCTTGAATATTTTGCTTAAAGTGATGCAGGGTCACAAGAACGAGGCTCCAATGATTGAACAACTTCTTACAAAGTCTACTAAAACTATCACTCCCCAGAAGATGAATAAATTGTGAAGATGTACTGACCAACAGGTTTAGTTGCCATAGGTTTTGTCTCGGAAGGTACCCAATTGATGTTGTCAACATTTTTGCTACTGTGCATGCCAGTAATTCGGGGTGTTCCTTGTTCCTGAAATTATAAAAAGAATGAAGATGAAAAAATATTTATATTTTCGTTTAAGATTAAAAATAATTTTAATGGAGGCTGTTCATAAAATTGCGATTGAAAGTAAAAATTAAAAAAAAACAAATTTACGAAAATGATCAACAATTATCAGTCAGAAAAACAAAAACAAAAAAGTCTGTACTGAAAATCAACATAAAACACTGAAATTCAATTCGTATTTATTTTCATCAGTTATTCGATAACATCAGTTTGCAATTGTTGCTCTGGTGTTCTACCATACATAAACTGAGAAATTAGAGTTACGCCCCTTATTATTAGTAAAAATGAATTGACTAGAGAACTTATTGAGCGCGTTAGTTTGATTATCCTGAGTGAAAAATATAACATTTGTAAGACCCTATAATAAAACTGAGGATTTGGCAGGCTTGATATTATTGTACCGTATAAAGACGATATTAGTGCGTACGTTGCGCGTTCAATTCTCAAATAGAGATACCTGAGCCTTACACTAAGCCTTTTTTGTACCAAACTAAGTTTTTAATAAATTATGTTTTGTTTTGAATGAACAGCAAAGTACTAAATAAAAACACAGTGTCTCGAAAAATGGTTAATTGAAAAATTTAAACCCGATGTCAATCGCTACTGCTTTGTTTCCGTTCTTTAGTAATGTTTCTGTTTTCTAACTCTTCTTCTTACACATCCAGTAACTCTTTTGTGCCTTAGTGGCTTTATTGCCTTGCTTGGAGTGGCAAGACAATAAAGCCACTTTATATATATATATATATATAGATAGATAGATAGATAGAGAGAGAGAGAGGCGCGCGCGAGCTCTCAAAAGAAAAAAAAATGGATATTTGAACCGTAATTTATCATTAGAGATTGCTATTTTGACAAATAAAAATTTAATTTATTAGTGCGCTGATGTGTCCGTATATTTAAAAATATAATAATTTCCGGACATTCAAGGATTCAAATGTAGCATTTAAAGTAGTAAACGTTTCGATATATGACCACGAAAAGGTTTTTAAAATAATCTAAAAAAACCACAACGCATGGTTGACAAAAAAAAAAAACATTTGATGAACTCCAATCTAAAAAATGGAAAAATCTTTTATAAAAGATTTTTTTTTAATGTTTTTATATCTTTGTAAGAAAAATAAAATAAAAAAAACATATGTAAAAAAATCTAAAATTAATTTGCATCCAATATCGGACCAGACCCGGAGATATTTGAACCGGAACAGTCGTTTTTAGTTGACTAATTAATTAAATTAAAAAAAAAAAATTGAGCGTAATAATAATTTACAGAAAATTTGTAAGCGATAAACAGACAGATTTTAATTAAATTACAAATCAGGTGTTGCCTGATTTCAATAAAATTTTCGGTACGTAAAAAATTAATGATAAACCTGGGAAGCTTTTTTAGTTTTTAAACTAAAGTTAGAGACTCAATGGCGCTATGCATTTTTCGTCACTGACTTTTTTATCCCATAAAAAAAAAAAAAAAGCTGTATAATTCAACAATGTATCGACTGAGAATATTTATGTTGTTACCCTAGTTATTTGTATTAATTAAACTACAAGAAGACTGTGGAATTGACGCAAGGTTCGTCGTGTGGTTGTGAATCTTTCTTTTTAAGATCATCAGAGTAAAAAAGCCTTGTTTAGTGGTTAAGGAATCTGCAATGGTCAGTGTGCATAAAATCATAAAAAAAGAAAGGATTTCGAATGTTGAACACTAACAGGAATTCATAAAAACACAACATTCCTTATTACTTCATATTTGGAATCTCTCGTCATTCATTGCCATACGAAAACAAACATTAGGTTACTTACTAGTAAAAAAATCTAAACATCCTGTGGAATAATAACGGCTCATTGCATAAAATATAATTTTTTTTACAAA